AAATCCACAGAAAGTCTCAATATAGAGATGTGATCTTACACTTTTTAATATTACAGAGAAACCTGGATTTGGTCTTTGAAAACCTGGAAACCTGAAGTAGTCACATTTGACGAGAAAACAACTGCAAAAAAGACGAAATAGAAGGGATATTAGAAACCAGTCGTTTTTGCAACCTTTGGGAGACTAGATTTCAGCCTCCCAGAGGTCTTCAGATCAGCTTGCTTTACTTTAGATAAGGCAACAAAGAAGAAATACTCAAACTAATCTCTGCAGAAAAAAAACCAAATCAAAGTTTTTTTTCTATATGCAAATTCTGCATTAACTTAAACTAAAATTTCTTAAAGTTTTTTTTCAAAATTTAAATCGTAACAAAACGTGCATTTAACCAAATAACGCGTAAAACAACTAGAAAAAGAGAAAGTGGGGGGAGGGGAATTTATAAATTATTGTAAACCTTTTACCAAAAAACCCTCACCACCAAACCAAATTTTGTGTATATATTGGTGCCGTGCATAGGCAAATTACGTAAAATTTTACGGATGGTCTGCAAGACCCTCATCAGCGAACCCTACTGCTCTCAACTCAAATTTAGTAAACCCTCATCCCGAAATTTGAGGCGCAGACCCTCATCCCCATCTCAAAATCAGATAAGGCTCGCCACCCCTCCCTAGAACTTAGAATATTTTAGGGCCAAAAGCGCCTTAGCTAAAATTTAAATCTGGTCAGCAAAAAAAGGATGTCCTAGAATGTGCCAAATTGGGGACCAAAAATGAACTCTCTGAGCTTTGTATGTAAGGAGATTGAAACATACTGGATTATTGATGACTAACGTCTCGATTTCAATGATTTGGTGCAAAATCAAATGAAAACAAAGAAAGTTTTTTATTGTTTTAAATATACCCACTGGAAGAAATTAACGCGTTCAAGATAGCTGATATTTGTTCTTCACAATGATTAACTTTAATTAATAAATGAAGTTATGATAATGAGAATTACTTCGTTTTGTAGCGAGCGTAGGGCCGATTGAACCTGTTTAGGAACTACATTTTTCTCTCCTTGTGAATTATTAATTACTTCTGATAATACAAAAAAGCAATGATTCATGTATGATTCTGTAACGTTCCATATATGATGTTTCATTTATTTTGTTGACTTTGATCTACAAGTTAATTTAATTTAGATCGAATTGAGCCAATTTTTTGATGACCAAAAAACTGTTCTATTGAGAACATTCTTTCAACTCATTTCATGTTTTCAGAAAAGTTTTTATTCCAGAAACTTTTAACTGTTACTTTAAAATGTTTCGGTTTTTCAATGTTTCGAGTGTTTATTAAAGAAAAATTTAAACGTTATTTTAGAATGTTTTGATTTTAACTGTTATTTTAGAATGTTTAGATTTTAATGACTTGACATGAAACCAAATACAAACAAAGAAAGACTATAATTAGTTTAAATATACCCACTGGTGATCAAGATAGCTGATTTTTGTTTTCCACAATGATAAGCTTTCATTCAATAATGACGTTATGATAATGAGAGAGTATCATCAAATTTTTAGCAAGCGGTAGGCCGATTGAACCTGTTTAGGAACTATAATTCTTTTGATTTAATGAATTGTGAAATATTTTTGACATAATAAAAAATAGCGTTACTTCATCTATGATTCTTTAACGTTCAATGTATGGGGTTTTAATTCTTTGATTAAATGTGATGGGCTCAAAATTCTCACTTATAGGTAAAAAAACTTGCAACCTAGTTAATTTTAAATCGAATAGAACAAATATTTTATTGACCGAAAAACTGTTTTAAGGAGAATATGCTTTTAACTCATTTCATTTTTTCTAAATTTTGAAAACCATTTAATATGGTTTTCAAAGGGTCTGATTGTGATCAACTAAGTTGAAACAGGGGTAAATTGCAGCTTCTCATCACTTGCAATAAAACACAAGCGTTATATGGCAAGCTAGCGAATAGAAAATGTGACGAAAAAAATAAGGTCGAAAAAATTGCAAATATCTTGTTTGATTTTTCCAGGAAAAAAGTTCGTTTTCATATTTAATGAAAAAACACAAGGTCCGACAACGACTGAAACCCCAGGTCTTAAGGTGCAAAAACAATTGCACTACCTCAAGATCAAAAGGTAAACAGCCAGAGCGTTATTAAGATCCAATAATAAAGCAAGTTTTCTAAGAAAAGTTGTTTATCGGAAAAATCTAGTACCCAGTTACAAGAGACTTGCTGTCGCAAATGTTGACATTGCTCATTCTGGCGATAAGCAGTTTTTTTTTTATCTGTAGGATTGGTGATCCTAACATTTTTTGCTTAACTTAGAGTTCAAGTGGGAGCTTTACTGTGGCAAGTGCATGCAGTATTGTAAAGCAATTGGGGAAGGCGTGCTATGAAGATTGTTTAGTCAATCAGATAAGGAGAAAAGTAAACAATTGGTTAAGTTGCAAAACCGACCCAAACAAACACTAAGCAGGATTTTAAAATGGTAACGGTTTTGCAAACCCTCCCACATGGAAACTACCGGCGCTAACTTTATGAAACTCATAGGACGGATACAAGAGATGATTTGACCCGGGCATGCAAAAATCAAGACCCATCGGACACCCTGGCCCCAAGTGATGACGGTTTCCGGAAGTGCAAATAGCCCTATCAGAACTCACTAACTAGCGGTTGGAATGGAACCAAAACATAGTATGTTGTAGACCCAGTCGAGGGAAGCTTAAATTTACAACCCCAGACACCCTGGACCCCTTCTTCCGGTGCCATTACCTATGCAAATGGACCCCACCCCTATTTCCGGGATCGATTCTCGGGCCCCACTGAACGCAGGGAGCTAAAGCTCTAATAAAGCATAGGTAGAGCCGAGGTACATCAGGTATCATAATTTGAGCCAAATCCAGTGGTTGAACCGTAAGTTTTTAGCACTTTGGGAAACCACCCCAAAAACCGGAAATGGGCAATTTGCGCAAAACAATGAGCGGTGGCATATCGATTTCATGGCGGTATCAGACACTACAACTCAACCCCGAAAAATAAACTCTGGTGTTTAAAACCCCTCGACGGCTCCTTCCGGTGTTAATAGCTTTTCCCGGGAAAAGTGATAATGGATTTTAGAAATGGGATAATTTGGGCAGTATTAACGGGATGGACGACGCTTGTTAGGTAGGACCCTACGGGATTCTAAAACTGAATATAGAAGATTGACTCCGGGTGACCCCAAATTGACCTTTGGGCGTTTAGGACCAAACTTGTATAGAAAACCTCGGGATTAACACCGGAAAGTGGCGTATTCATTCGACCCCAACCCTTGGGAATGAGAATTGGTCACCTTACTAACATTTGGGAGGGAACTTACCTATTGGTTAATAAATGAGAAGCTGAAAAAGATATAGCTTATACATTGTATGATTGAATTAGTGGAATCAATTAAAGTGAACTTGGCAGACATTGGGTTCAATTTAATTTGGTGAATGCGCTATTAATAGAATATTAATCAGGGTAAAAGAAAAGTAGTCCCAGAGGAAATTAGCGATAACAGAGGAATAGCATGGGAAATAGGACTACTAAATAACATGAAGGGACGAGATTTTTACTTAGCTCCCTAGAGGTGGCTTTTTGGCACGATTTGACCCCTAATAAGCGAATTACGTTCCTCTGATAGTTAGAAGGTTGGGATTGGAATAGAGTATACATCGGCATTTTAGATGCTTAGAAAGAGTTAGCAATTCAGAAAAAGGTTCTTCCCCTACCCCTGAGAGGTTGGAACGTTAATGGGATATTTAAACAAAAAACCTTGGGAAGATTGTTAATTAAACATAACTTGGTTTAGAGGTGGAAGTGGACTTGATATTTGCACAACTAGTTACCCTTAATGAACTTGGAATTTAGGAATGGTGTCGTCAGAGGAAGAATTCGGTTAAAACTTTACGAAAAGGGTACCAAAGTAAATGTCAGGACTTGTAAGCACGGTGTAACTCTAACTATAACTAAAACTCATATAGAAAAACATATAGGGATCAACAAATAGCCTCTTCTTAGGCAGAACAGTTGGAGCTACTATCAAGAGTAGTTGGTTCTCAGTTAGTTAGAGAATAGTGATAGCTACAAGTGAGAGGAGCTGGGTTCTCAATAGTTAGAGAGCAATTGATAAAGATTTACAGTCTAGTGAGCTCTCCGAAATAGAGACCGGGAATCGCGAAGTTAAGAGATCAGTCAAAGAACCTCAAAGGAATAGTGATCCATCGAGACACTATTAATGTTAGCAGGTCAGACTGAACGATTCAGCGGAATTACTATTAGGATTCTCTAGAAGACAGAGAATTGTTAGCTAAGTTAGTTGGAATTGGAATTGCAATCAGGCAATTGTGTTGATTGATCGCGGACCCTTTCCTTTTGATTAGATTACTAGATTATATTCGGGCCGTCTAGCGCCTTCTGTATTTGGACTAAAACTTATCTGAATTTAATTACTAGAGGTGGAAATTCTTGCGATGGGTTAAAGTGGGCGAGACAGCCTCAAGAGCAGCACAAAAAGGGGGCAAGTAACAGAATACAGTACAGAATAGTTGCCACCAACTTAACCCTTTCGGGATTGTGGATAGTAGTGAATCTCGATTGCCCCGCTGAATTTCTATACCAAAGAGACCACTTTGCCGTGCCTTTAAATTAGAAAGTGAGAGCGAACCTAGAGAAGCAATCCCCGAAATCTACATTAACTGAGTCCCAAAAAAATAATCTTTGTAGACCATTCCTCTTTGTGAACTCTGTGAAGTAGACACTGTCCTAATTTGCTTGTTTGGCGACTGCTTGCTCCGCTACTGACAGCTATTCCTACTCAAAACAGTAAATTGCGACAATTTTTGTGTTTTCATTTTTTTCTGAAAATCATTTTGAAACAAAGCAATCGAAATATATATTTTTTTCGTTCTCCTAAAACAAATATCAAAAACAACAATAACATCATTCTAAGATTCTTCTCTTCCCTAGTTCGTCTATTTGGCCTTGGTGCTGTCGTCGTCATCTTCGGTTAGTTTGCTGTCATCTCCTGACAACGCGCTGTCATCTCCTGTCAATGCGCTGTCGTCTCCTGTCAATGCGCTGTCGTCTCCTGTCAATGCGCTGTCGTCTCCTGTCAATGCGCTGTCATCTCCTGGCTTGCTGGCATCTCCTGTCAATGCGCTGTCGTCTCCTGGCTTGCTGGCATCTCCTGTCAATGCGCTGTCGTCTCCTGGCTTGCTGGCATCTCCTGACAGTGCGCTGGCATCTCCTAGTTTGCTGGCATCTCCTGAAAGCGCGCTGGCATCTCCTGGCTTGCTGGCATCTCCAGTCAATGCACTGCCGTCTCCTGTCAATTTGCTGTCGTCTTCTTCCGAGAAGTCGCCAGGTGCTGATCGCTTGAGACTACCCTTGGTGGTGACCTGCTTGATGCTCCCCATCGACGGCTGCTTGCTCAACTGGCTCGCCTATAATCATGAGTCACTACTGAGGTTGCTTCATTAAGACAAACTATATCAGGTTTTGAAACTAGTGGATCAATTAAAAGCAAAAAAAAAACAATCAAGGATAACCAGTTACTCTGCAAAGTAGTACAGAATATTCCGACTATGGTCTTAAAAAATACAACAAAGTAGTTTTTTTTTCAAATTAGGGTCGTTTTATGGCGTTTTTTATCTGAAGTAAAACTAGAGCTTGGGCATATTCAACAGTCATAGCAAAATAAGCAAACTGCAAATCAAATTTTATGGAAACATGACAGAAAAAGGAACAAAAACATTTTGAAATGTTTTTTTTTGTAGTTTTTTGAATTTTTTTAGAATTTTTTTTATTGAAAAGGTACCGTTAAGAAATTGGATCGAAGACAAGAGGTACTGGACTAGTTTTTTGATTGGTTTATGACTCGAACCCGTTGATCAAAATTTTCCGAAAAAAGTTGTGACAAAATAAAAAATAGTCAAAAAATTCTAAAAACGTCCCAAGAATTCTGCGAAACTGTGCTGTAAGATGACACCAACCTTATATTAAGTGCTCTGGTAGCAAAATATCAGGCAAATTAAGTTGAGTTTTTTCATCCTCAGGTTCCTTTCCGCGTGTGTTGTTGGAACTTAACCAATTTGCCTGATCCCCCACCCACCTTTGGTGAAAATGAAAGCCATTTTTCAAGTGTAGCCGATTTTGCCCGTCCAAATATTGACTTCGTTGCGTGACCGTATAAGTTAGGTGGTCAGGTACGGTGATATTAAGTGGGTTAAGTTGAATTCTTTCATCCTAAGGTTTACTCCGTGTGTGTTGTTGGAGTTCAACCAACCTACTTAATTTCCCAACCTCACTGGTACTTATGCTTAACATAGCTGTCGCATAGGTTCCTTAAGTGTATGGTAGTACTTCCGCGAGCTAATTTCTTGGATCACGCACTTCGGAAATTTTCCGGCTCCGTCCCAGAAGCGCCTCAAAGATACTTGCTTTACAAAGCCCGGTTTAAGTTTGAACTTCAACGCTAGGGAATTTCAGAAAACAATACGCTACTACCTTCATCACTACTTGTCTCACCGCAACGACCTTGTAGTTTGGCGCGACGCCATTAATTACTCAAAACGTAGCCACCGCGGATATAGAGGAGACGACGAACCGAGGAACCGAGATACCGAGGATATAGAGGAAAATTTAGTTTCAACAGGTATTCTCGTTCTGAACGTCGTCAAAGACTTTTTCTCTAAGCGTAAGGCTAAGGACTAGGTACTAATTGAAAAATACGAAGAGTTTCACCAGCCTCCTTCCCTTGTGTTAAAAAATCTCCTCTTTCTAAGACGTCATAGCGGTATTCTTAGCATCCGTAAGACGGGTAAGAATCGGAACCGCTTACTATTCAAAGCGCGAAAAGCTGTAAAAAATAGGCTTCAGGCAGAATCTTTGAGACGTCAAGTTCCCCCATCTTGCGAACTAAAGTTGATACATTAATGTAAGTTTAATTACAACAATATTAGCAAAACAGTATGTCAATTCAATAATTGTTTCCAATTTAGTGAGCATCCTTAAAATATTGTCACTTTGTAAAAAACATGAACGAAAAATTCCAAAACAAGTTACGCAAGATAATTGAAACCCGTCTAAAGCTGCTTAAACTTCACTCATTATTACTTGAGTATATTGAGAATAATAGTCGAACCGCAAAAATTGATAATGCTGTTTACAAATGTTAAATTGCGTTGAAAAAAGCTGTTGACTGTTTAGGTTAGTGGGAAAAACGTAAAACCCTGAACAAATTATTGCTCAGCAAGACAGCATTACATGGAGCAAGGGATCTTTACACTAACTAGGTCAGAGACATCCTCACGCTTGCACAAAACAAGAGATTCAGAAGCACGAGTATCCGAAAACAGGTCTAAGGTCTTTAATATGTCTAAGGAAAGTAGGAAACATGGGTCACATAAGTCTGATAAATCCGCTCGTAAAGTTCTGCTCGTAATACTTCGATTGTTCACACTATGTCATCAAGTAAGTTAGCTTTGTTGAAACGACGCCACGAGGAGCTGGAAAGGCAGTATCAAGTATCTATAGGGCTTAGAGAGCAAGTGAACTGTCTTAAGTTTGAACAAAGTCAGCTGGAACTAGAGCATTTGGCTGAAAGTCATAAAAAGCAAATAATAGAAAGGGAAATGAAAGCATTGGAATTTGAGGACAATTCATCTGAGGTTAGTAGGAAGGTAGCGAAAAGAAACTCGACCGGAGTAAGTCAACCTATTTCAAAAGTTGCACCGATCGGACTAACGCTTGGGTAGACTCTGTTAGTTCACACGCACCCCCTGACGGTGCTAGTGCGGTAGCTTTGTTGGCCTTCACTCATGTACCAATTTCGTTAGAATCGACGACTTCCGCCAACCTCGCTCATGCAATTATCACCAGTAATGGTCATAATCACGGGCACACAGCATTGAGTGATGCTGGAATCCATAGTCATGGACATCGGGTTATGCCTTAATTTGGCAGTGCAAGCCTTTTGCCATTGCAAGCTTCTGCTCCATCTGTTTCATTCCCAGTTAGCAATATGCATTTTAATGCACACATATTACCACCGCCATCTGCTCTTCCTTTACAGACGATGAGTTCAAACATAACTTATGGTGGTTTTGCCAACGGGCAACCGGAATCGTTACCGGCAAAAACGCGGTACTGGTTTTGTTTCTTTGTCACCTGCATTTGCTGGTGGTGGCTTCTCATGTATAGAAGTAAACCCAACGCAGGTCTTTCTTTCGGCACCTCATTGCCATGCGGTGCCAGTTCAGACGCAACATAATATTCCCTTTGTACCTTATACTGTGTCACCCAATATCAACGACTACTACACAAGTGATTCAAACTTATGGCGATTAGCAGCTAAAACTCCAATCGTCAAGCCTGTTTAGTGTTGTAATGCACGAAACAATTTTTCTGATGTGACAACTGTTGTCCCACCGTGTAACACAGCCGTCCCGTAACTAGTGGTGGGACTGTGTATTTTAATACTCCAACAGTTAATCCTCAGCTTGTTCCCCATTTTGTCAATAATATCAATACTGATTATCAGCCAGTCAACGAAGGCTACGCACCAAAGTTTTTTTATCGGATCGACCTCTCTCTGCTCGTAAATTGGCGGAAATAGTAATGCATAGCCGCAAAGATCATCTTCTTGAGTCGAAATTAGCCCAGTTTGACGGCAACATGTTAAGCTGGCACGTATGGTTTGGTCAGTTAAAGTCCACCGTTGACTCCACTGTTCTCACAGATGATACGAAACTGACATACTTAAAAGCACTCGTCACAAGCAAAGCAAGAAACCGCAATTGCGGAGTTTATTTATTAAGTACAAAGATGTACTGGCCACCTTGCAACGGAAACTTTGGCAGCCGCATGCTTTTTTTGACATGCGCATCTTGATCAGCTAAATACTACTCCTCCACTTAAGATGCACAAGTCAGAAAATGTCATTAATTTCTCCTCTGCTTTATCTGGCCACTTAGCAATTTTCAAATCATTGCCATTCAACGATGATCTAAAGAGTCTTAACCTGTTAAACCAAGCTCTTAGTAAGCTTCCGCCTAACCTCAAGGAAGCTTGGTCAATGCATACTGTTAGGCATAATTGGCAGCGCCCAACACTCTAAGATTTTAAAAACTGGTTGAAAGAAAAGTTCGAGGGGTATGAGAGATTACGTGCACTTAACTCTTAGGCAAAAAACGAGGAACCAGTTATGCCAAAAACAACCATAGTTTTTACAGCAAATACCAAGGTAACTAGTGAAATACCAAGGATAAGTCTAAGTATCCGCCGTGCTTTTTGTGTAATGGTAGTATTGCCTTGGAAAGGGTAATTCAGGGAAAATAATGCTACTCAGCGAGCAAAACACGTAACTGAACAGATGTTTTGCTTCTCTTGCCTCAATGGCAATCATAGTTTCCGGCAATGTTCTAGAGCTAAGAAATGCCCGAAGCCACAGTGAGATAGCACACATAATGTCTTGCTCCATGGAGCCGAGAAAAAAGTTCCTTCGAAGGAAAATTTGAATGTCTCAAATAAGGCTGGAGCAAACAAGTCCAAGGAGAATACAAACACTTCCACCAACGCCGCCGTTAGTGATGTACATGACATTGAATCGTCTAAAGGGTTGTTGCCAATTGCAACACTTGGTGTGTCCTCGGATGTAACCAGTCTCCTGACGTTGGTTCTTTGTGATAGTGCATTGGCACATTCTTACACTCTTGGGTGTCTTCGTCACTCATTAACCGTCTCGGCTTAGTAGGGGAGCCGTTAACTTGTCAATTAGTGGTTTCAATGCAACTACCGTTGTTGAGACTCAGAGGGTCAAGTTTACAGTTTCCTCCGATCCGAATGATAGTGATTTCGTATTCACTCTGTGTGCATATCTTAAAGACAATATTCAGATTGGTTCCAAATTAATCAATGTTGCTGATTTGCAGAACAAATATCCATAATTAGCACCTATTAAGCCTACTCAAAATACTTATATGGACATTGAAGTAATTATAGGACAAGACTACTACCACGCCGTTAGACCCATTGATTTCCTCTTGGGAGATGATAATAACTCACCGTGTTCCGTTCGCCTTCATACAATGTGCCTTGGATTGCTTTGGCGAAGTATACATTGTGCCTTGGATTGATAGTAATGTCAGTCTACCAAACAATTATTACTCGTCATTCGTCCAATTTACAACATTGGAGAGAAGATTAAGTAAGGACCCTTAACTGCGCGAAAGATACGCAGACCCAATTAGAGAGGACATTAGGAAAGGCTATGTAGTTACTGTCGAACCGCCTGATCCACGTAAACGTTCCGATCGCGAGTGGTATTTTCCGCACCATCCCGTCGTGAATCCGAACAAGTCGGGTAAGGTGCGCCAAGTTTTTAATGGGGCTTCTAAGTTTCACGGCACATCCTTAAATAAGTCCTTATTGGTGGGTCCTTTCC